ATGGCATGGGATGGGATCCGTGGCATGGGATGGGATCCGTGGCATGGGATGGGATCCGTGGCATGGGATGGGATCCGTGGCATGGGATGGGACGGGTGACCCCAGACATCCTTGGCAGGGACTGAGATGAGGATGGGGAAGGGAATGGGGTAGGAATTGCAATGGGAAAGAATGAGGTGGGATGGAATGAAATGGGGATAGGACTGGGCATGGGATAGGATGGGAATAAGGACTGGATGGACCAAGGATGGGACAGGGCTGACACAGAGCATCCCCTCTCAGCCCGCCACTCCCACCCACCCTGCCAATCCTGGGAAGCTCCCAGGATATTAGGGAAGGTATCCTGGCATCCCTGCCCCTTCCTACCCCTTCATGCCAGCCCCAAAGCACCCCCTGAGCGCAGCCTTTTTTCTACCCTGATAGATTTATTGAAAAATTAAAAGCACAAGCTCTGTATATATAAATACGACGACATTGCCAGCGATTTACAAGGCCTCCGGTTGCTCTCTGTGCATCCCCACCCGTGGCCGGTGCCACCCACCCGGGCACCTTGGGGACCACCCAAGGGAGCGGCAACCCCCCGAACCTCCCTCCAGCCCGAGCCACGGGCCCACCTTGCTCTGTGTGTGGCACTCAAATGACAGCGGGGACACCCAGACTGTGCCGTCCTGCCCTGCTGAGGGGGACAGGACGTTCCCTACCCCAGAGAGGACAGGGATGGAGATTCCAAGGGATGTGCCCGTTCTCAGCCTGCCCTACCTGGGCAGCGAGCCTGCAGCAGGCGCGGGGACAGCTGGGGACAAGCTGGGGGTGTCTGCGCGTGCGGACTGCGGGACGCTGCTGTCACACCTCGTCCTTCATCCCCATCCCAGGGCTCCCCACCCGCCCAAACCCCACTCCTAAAGGGCGACGTTGAATTCTGTGACCAAGAAATCGATGTAGTCCTTTTCCTTCAGCTTAAAGGCCTCGGCGATGATCCGGGCGGCTTCCCGGTGCTCTTTTCCTCGGAGTCCTGTGCCGTTCACCTCCAAAATGACATGTCCCACCTTCAGCTTCCCGCAGTTGTGTGCCGAGCCCCCCCGCTGCGGGAGAGAGAGGGGTCAGCTCATGCTCCCACTGCTCCCTGCATCAAAAAAACCTGGGAGACATTTCATATCCGACATGATGGATGTGAAATATTTCACTTTTTGGAGAGAGGGGATGAATTTGGCTTCCCCCCTGCTTGCTCCTGGAGCATGATGCCAGCTGGGATGGCCAAGAATAACCACGGCAGAGACGGCTCTGCTTTTTTTTGCTGTAAATAACTTGAATTTTGCCCCAAGTAAACAGCAAACAGGAAGACAGCTCCAGAGGGCTCGGCTCCCTGGCTCCCATCAACCATTCCCCCTCCTCAATCCTCTGTCTGGCAGTTTCCAGACATCTGGAGACAGCAGCCAAGATTTCAGGGCTGCCCTGATCCCCTCAGAGATGTCTGGAGCAAACAGCTGGCTCCCAGGAGATGTGTTCAGGGATGGGATCATCCACAGGACACAGACACCATCCTCAGCGGAACGGTGCCTGGGGAGGTGTAAAGGGGGACAAACCCCCAAACTCCCCCTGGCCACAGCTCAAGGGCTCTCCCCAGCCTGCCCAGGGGGGAGAGGGATGGGATGTGCACGGAGCTGTCCCTACCTGGATGGTGACGATGCGGGGCAGCGGCTGCCGCGTGTTCGCGCCGCCCTCGATGGCGATGCCCAAGGTGGGAGCGCTCTTGGACACCCGGATCAGACACGACGTGGGCTCCAGGAGCCCTGGCTGTGGGGACAGATGGCAGCACTGCCGAGGGGACCTGGACACCGTGTGCCAGCCGTGCTCCCCCAGCCAGGGCCCCACAGCAGGCAGGAACACTCTGGCTGCCACCACAGAGGGACAGACATGGCCTGCAGTTGCTTTCTGACTCCTGACATCTAAAATCCCAGCTCTGGACAGGTCTGGAAGGGTTTGGGAAGGAGCAGAGCAGCTCTCTACCTGCCTGCCTGTGTCCCTCAGCCTCACCACCATCAGGAACCCTCAAAATTATGTCTGATACCTGCTGCCACCTTCCCTTTTGGGTGACAGGTGACTTCATTCATGTGGCTCGTGGACGTCCCTTTAGAGCCAGGAATTCTCCCATGTCCCAGGTAGCTGCTTGCTGGAGCTGGGAAGGATGGGATTTACCCAGGACAGAGCGAATCAGTGCCCCTCTCATCCACTCCTGAGCCCTGTCCCCACAGCTCAGCCCCCCAGAGAACTGAGTGCCTCAGCAGAGAGGATGAACACCCCAGCTAAGCACAGATGGGCAGAGGAACGGGCTGGCCAAGGCAGTGGGGCACAGCCCCGGGTGCCCCCTCCCACACAGAGCAGCACCCCGGGCCCCCCTCACCGGCTTGGAGGCCCCTTCTGCCGCCCCCTCGCTCCTCGTGGCCTCCTTGAGGCTCCGGCTTTTCCCGGGGCCCGGCTGCCGGCTCTTGTCCTTGCCGCTCGTCTCGACCTCCCCGATGTCCACCCCGCTGTCCTCGCTGAGGGTCTGCCCGCTGTCCGACAGCTGGGAGAGCGTGGAGGCTGGGGAGAGACGCGGCGTTAGCGGCCGGGCGGCACCAGGCCCGGGCTGGCCGAGCGCCCACGGGCCACGGAGCGAGGGCAGCTCCCGCTCCCAGGGCTGGGCAGCTTCCCTGGGATTCACACCGGGGCTGCAGAGCAAGGATCCCAAGCAGGGCCCTTCAGAACCATGGAATTGCTCAGGTGGGAAAAGCCCTCCAAGATCGTCGAGTCCAACCACAAGACCGGCACTGCCGAGGCCACTTCTAAACCATGGCCCCGAGTGCCACAACTACAAATTCTTTCAGGGATAGGATCTCCACCACGGCTCCGGGCAGCCTCTCCCAATGCCTGACTCTCTCTCAGTGAGGAGATTTCACCAATATCCAACCTGGAGCTCCCGGACACAGCTCGAGGCCATTTCCTCTTGTCCTGTCCCTGTTTCCTGGGAGGAGAGATTGACCCCAGCCTCACTGCACCCCCTGTCACAAAAGCAGAGCTGTGCACAGGAGCATCAAGTGGCCTCAGACTCTGCTCTGGAACCCAGCCCAGATGCCAAACTGGGATGGAGGGAGAGAGTGATGAATTCAGGGATCCTGCTGGAGGTCAGTTCATGCAGCCCATGCTCCACAGCAGGGTCAGGGAGGGGACAGGGACGAAGCCAAGCGAAGAGGCGCTGTCATGGAGGAGCTTTCTGCCCTCTGAGGATGAGGAGGAGGTGCGGACGGACCCTGGGAACGGCCGGAGCTCACCCGCAGGGCCCAGCGGGGACCGGGCCGGGCCCGCTGCAGCGGCGGCGCTGCGCCACACGGGGGCGACATTGGCGCTCCTGCCGGGACAAGCGGGAATGTCCTGATCCCGGGAATGTCCTGATCCCGGGAAGGTCCTGATCCCCGGGAATGTCCTGCCCACGGGAATGTCCTGATCCCGGGAAGGTCCTGATCCCCGGGAATGTCCTGCCCACGGGAATGTCCTGATCCCGGGAAGGTCCTGATCCCCGGGAATGTCCTGCCCACGGGAATGTCCTGATCCCGGGAAGGTCCTGATCCCCGGGAATGTCCTGCCCACGGGAATGTCCTGATCCCGGGAAGGTCCTGATCCCCGGGAATGTCCTGCCCACGGGAATGTCCTGATCCCGGGAAGGTCCTGATCCCCGGGAATGTCCTGCCCACGGGAATGTCCTGATCCCGGGAAGGTCCTGATCCCCGGGAATGTCCTGCCCACGGGAATGTCCTGATCCCGGGAAGGTCCTGATCCCCGGGAATGTCCTGCCCACGGGAATGTCCTGATCCCGGGAAGGTCCTGATCCCCGGGAATGTCCTGCCCACGGGAATGTCCTGATCCCGGGAAGGTCCTGATCCCCGGGAATGTCCTGCCCACGGGAATGTCCTGATCCCGGGAAGGTCCTGATCCCCGGGAATGTCCTGCCCACGGGAATGTCCTGATCCCGGGAAGGTCCTGATCCCCGGGAATGTCCTGCCCACGGGAATGTCCTGATCCCGGGAAGGTCCTGATCCCCGGGAATGTCCTGCCCACGGGAATGTCCTGATCCCGGGAAGGTCCTGATCCCCGGGAATGTCCTGCCCACGGGAATGTCCTGATCCCGGGAAGGTCCTGATCCCCGGGAATGTCCTGCCCACGGGAATGTCCTGATCCCGGGAAGGTCCTGATCCCCGGGAATGTCCTGCCCACGGGAATGTCCTGATCCCGGGAAGGTCCTGATCCCCGGGAATGTCCTGCCCACGGGAATGTCCTGATCCCGGGAAGGTCCTGATCCCCGGGAATGTCCTGCCCACGGGAATGTCCTGATCCCGGGAAGGTCCTGATCCCCGGGAATGTCCTGCCCACGGGAATGTCCTGATCCCGGGAAGGTCCTGATCCCCGGGAATGTCCTGCCCACGGGAATGTCCTGATCCCGGGAAGGTCCTGATCCCCGGGAATGTCCTGCCCACGGGAATGTCCTGATCCCGGGAAGGTCCTGATCCCCGGGAATGTCCTGCCCACGGGAATGTCCTGATCCCGGGAAGGTCCTGATCCCCGGGAATGTCCTGCCCACGGGAATGTCCTGATCCCGGGAAGGTCCTGATCCCCGGGAATGTCCTGCCCACGGGAATGTCCTGATCCCGGGAAGGTCCTGATCCCCGGGAATGTCCTGCCCACGGGAATGTCCTGATCCCGGGAAGGTCCTGATCCCCGGGAATGTCCTGCCCACGGGAATGTCCTGATCCCGGGAAGGTCCTGATCCCCGGGAATGTCCTGCCCACGGGAATGTCCTGATCCCGGGAAGGTCCTGATCCCCGGGAATGTCCTGCCCACGGGAATGTCCTGATCCCGGGAAGGTCCTGATCCCCGGGAATGTCCTGCCCACGGGAATGTCCTGATCCCAGGGATTGACTGTATCCCCCTCCCCTCTCCATCTCCAGGATTCCTCTTCCCTCTCCACCTCCGAGAGCTCCCGGGACCCCCTGGGACCCCTCCTTCCCCTCCATAACTGAGGGGCTCATGGGGCACACTGCTCCCTCACCTCCACTTCTTCTTCCTGGGATAAACGTGATTCCCAAGCTGAGTGTGGGCACAATTAGAATTTTTTTGTCCCTCCCCCCCCAAAATACACAGTTGATGGGAAGAGACCAGAGTTATTCCTGGTCCTTGAGATCAAAGGATGGCCTGGGTTGGAAGGGATCTTAAATCTCATCTCATCCCACCCCTGCCATGGGCAGGGACACCTCCCACTACACCAAACTCTGTCCAGCCTGGCCTTGGGCACTGCCAGGGATCCAGGGGCAGCCCCAGCTGCTCTGGGCACCCTGTGCCAGGGCCTGCCCACCCTGCCAGGGAACAATTCCTGCCCAATATCCCATCCAGCCCTGCCCTCTGGCACTGGGAGCCATTCCCTGGCTCCTGTCCCTCCATCCCTTGTCCCCAGTCCCTCTCCAGCTCTCCTGGAGCCCCTGGAAGAAGCTCTGAGCTCTCCCTGGAGCCTCCTCCATGTAAACACCCCCAGCTCTCATAGGAGAGATGCTCCAACCTTTGGATCATGAGACCTGAAACCTTGAGATCTGTGTCCTGTCTGCTGCTCTCTCTCTGAACACCCCAGGGATGTTTGTTTATTTTTCCCACTGGATTCTTTGTTCACCCACCTCTGGCCTGGGGCAGGGGCCTCACTTCGTTGACGTCGGGCTCGCTGTTGGGCTGGTGCACCTCCACCATGATGAAATGCTGGTTGGCCACGGCCTGGGGGCTGCCCTTGTCCGGGGGAGGGGGCGCGGGGTGCGGGGGCGGAGGAGGAGGGGACGGGGACGGGGGGCTCTGGATCCCCTCCGGGGATGGGCTCTTCAGCCTGGCTGGGGACTGGACCCTGGGGAAGGGCCCGATGGGGTGCTGGCTGAGCAGGGAGAGCTGGGCGTCCGCCGGCCTGCGGGAGCCGTGCGGGGACGGAGAGATGGTGGCGTAGATGGCGCTGGGGGCAGAGTCCTCGGTGGACGTGGAGGCCGTGGAGGTCACGCTGACCGTGTCCTTCTCGGGGGCGCTGGGAGGGGGAGAGGGGTTTCGGGGGGCCACGAAGAAAAGGCCAGACTGGGAGGACTCGGAGGAGGGGCGCTTGGGCTTGTCCTTCCCCGGGAGCCGGTGCTGGGCAGAGGAGGGGTCCAGGCTCTGGGGGGCTGATGGAGGAGGAGGAGGCTTGAAGTTGGGTGGTTCCTCTGGGAAGGAGGAGACATCATCCTGCCAAAGCAAGCAGAGTTTGTAGGACACCGTGCCCAGTTTCAGTGTCAGTGCACCTTCACCTCCTCACACTGACCACGGCTGAAGGAGCTGGTTGGGAGAGAAACACCTTCCTGACCTGACAGCATTACAGAAACACCTTCCTGACCAGACTGTGTTATAGAAACACCTTCCTGACCAGACCGTGTTATAGAAACACCTTCCTGACCTGACAGCATTACAGAAACACCTTCCTGACCTGACAGTGTTATAGAAACACTTTCCTGACCTGGCAGTGTTATAGAAACACCTTCCTGACCTGGCAGTGTTATAGAAACACCTTCCTGACCTG